CGGATCCGATATTTTCCCGCAAACTTGTCCTCCCTATGTCCTGTCCTGTCATATCTATCCCCACTAGGTGCAGTTATCAGTTTTCACATCGCTAACATTGTAGAACACATTATTACATGTCCACAGTACCACATGTCTTATTACATAGGACATTGGACCCGAAAATTAGAGCTACTACTTTCACCCATAGCACTCCAAAATTCTACATAGACACTATATATTTCGCATACCTCCTTCTTACTTATGTGACCTTTCTACCTCTGAGTAGGAGGAGGTCATTAGATATCTGTAGTTCTTCATTCAATTCCGCAAATATCATCCATTCTTTATCCAAAACACTCCGAAACACTGCCAGTAACCCGCCATTCACTATCCCTGACATTCCCTTTCTAACCCAACAATATCCGACAACACCTGCCAAAAACTGCTAAACCTGAAACCCGAAAAACATTGGACCCGACGTTTTACCTTCGGATTCATAATTATACCTTCGGACTTTGTTTCCCATGCTTCGGACTATCTTCCTTTTTGTATAACTAATTATTCTACTACCAACAGTTAACCCCTCGGGTCAAATGCACTTGTTCTGCAAGTATAGCAGACTAGGCTGTGCTAGACCACAACTATTATATTTTGCTAGACACTCACTTTGAGTAGTATCCAGCAAAAGTTGTTTACCTACACCGCGCAATGCGCACACACTTCCCATGCTTCGCGATGTATATGTGCATGCTTTCCCGTGCTTGAGCACCCTACAGCGCCAGCCATCCAGAAGCATCCATCCACTGTCCACCAAGTTCTCTAGTGCATATATTTCCATCTCTCTCATTTGCATATCATTCCACCTTTATTTTTATCATGGACCCTTACTTATAGATATCTTTACATACCTTACTCAGAAGCACTTCGGCTCTGCATGACAGCGCTTAGGCACCATATATAAGCGCCAGCAGTAAATACTATTACACACTTACTTTTTACTTACTGGTTACTACCCATTTACTACCTAGAAAGTCACAGTAGAAATCTATTCCTTTACACCTTGCACTCTCATCTCTTTTCTAGTATCTCATTATCACTTAAGCAAGCTTATTCTTACTCTCTCTCATTTCCGCATACCTGTGCACACTTTCCCATGCTTCACGCAGCATACACATGCATTCTCATGCCTTGCGCGCACCTGCACTTTCTCGCACTTCACTTCAGCGCATACTTCTAGATCCTTGCTGCACTCGCTTCCCCTTTAGGGTCGAACACACTTGTCGTCTCAAGTATAGCAGACTAGGCAACATGCGACCTTACAACATTTACAGATACAGTCAGGAGCCTCGTTCGCGCCTCGCTGTATTGTAGTTTCAACAATGGTACACGTTGTCTTCTTAGATAGATGATCTATAGATAAACACCTATGAAAACAAATATCTCCATGGTCAGCGATTCAGACAAATACCAATGGCTGATAACGTGGTTGTTCGTGGGTGGCTAGTTGTATACTACCCAAAGTATATTCAGCTAAGGATACTTCTGCAAGATCAGTAATACAATGGTCAATCCAATCTATGGACTTTGACAGGAAAACAAACAAACAATGGTCAGCCTGACAGTATTGGCGATGACCAAAAGAATATACGGGATTCTTCCTCAAGTTCCCTTTCAACAACAGTGCTTCGTACTAACTATACTCCAAAATCATTGGTGCAGAACTATAATGATCAACTCCCTCAGCACAAAACAGGTAGAATCAAAGGTCAAGACTAATCAAATGCTTTATTGTAGAACTCTTAGCTCAATATTGAACCTGCTGTCAAGGAACTCTTCTTTGAGTATTCAAACAGACTCAGGAACAGACGTCCTTGGGTTTACTAACAAGTCCCCTCTTCAATGGCTAAAGCCTAGCAGGCACAGAATATCTTGGCTCAGTATTGCTACTCAGATGAGTGAGGTCAAGCTTCACTATCAATTCCTAAAGTCTCCCCACTATGCTACTTCTGAGTCTTAGGTGGATGTAGAGACAACACGAATATTTTGGAAATATATTTCTGGACAAAGACCACCAAAGGTTGGTGAAAGTAAAAGAAAAGAAAAAGAATAATAGAAATCAGAATATAACTGTGGCTGTACCTTGCTTGCTGGTTGTTGCACACAGTGAGCTCACAGCTGGTCGTTCAGTATGATGAGCTTGCAGTATTACTGTCTCTTGAGAATGTTCCTCTCAGTCTTGAAACAGTTCTTGACACTGGTACTGACACTTATCACACCTTACTCACAACTTAGTGTTAGATGGGCTGAAAAACACCCTACTATCTGCTGCTGTTCGCTGCTTATTATTTCAAAAACTGGGGTCATTATATACACAATAAATGTGGCTGTGCTACTAGTGTATTCAAGAGTCATCAAGAGTCATAATGAGTCATATATGCAAGGTGAGTCATAGTGAGCCATAGTAAGTCATAGTAAGTATTTAGAGTGAGTCATAGTGAGTCATTGGGTATTTTGCTAAGTCATCCTGGCTTGTTGCTAGTCATGTGACCTGTCCAACCCCTGATGACAAATCCAGAAAAAGAGTAATAAATGTCACATGATATGAATCCTTTGTGTGTTTGTCTTTTATTTTCTTTGTGTGAAGGGTGAGAATGACGCGAGCCTAGTATTTAGGGATTTACTAATGTTTTTCCAGGACAACATATGTGGGAAATATTTTTCACAGTCACCTGACATGTGTGAGAATCTTTCTGAGTCATCCTCATGGCTGACTAAGCAAAACTCATCGCAGAATTAAATGTACTAAAATGTTCAGGCTGCTGGCATACAGACTTGAAAAATAAAAGGAAAGGCGAAAAATATTCCCTTAGCCTCAGTCCAACTTCAGATAAAAAGGAAAAGGGTTTCATAGTGGTATTTCAGGGTATAAGACTCATGGGAGAGTATTGGTCGTCCATGCACCGAACCAGTTTGGTGCAGGTCAGCGTTCCCGCTGTAAAGAGTAGGTTCCTAGTGGGCTTATACTAAAGGTGTTACCTTAAGACTCAAAGTGCGAGTGAGATGTTCGTCCCAAGAGACTGCCTATAGGATTATCTCTTGATATAAATTGCAAGGGATATCTTGTTAAGATCGAGGGTGAGAGAAGGAAAGTATACCTCTAGTACGTTCAGAGTTCCGAAGAATAGTCCGAAGTGTCTGATGAGTTGTCCAAAGTGTCTGGTATAGGTCCGACGTCTAGAAACGAAGGTCCGAGGTTGTGTGAAGCTTCTGGCGAGCTTCTGATGAAACGGCAAGGTTTACAGTAAAGAAATACAGCGGATATCGAAGTATAGAACTTTTGTGTAGTACAACTAGCAAAGTCCATTGAAAGACTTAAGGATTTCAATAGCAAAATGGCAGCAGTGAAGCCAAACAATCGTTCCAAATGAACAAAGATCAATTGCAAAGTACTAATAATCCGGAAGTGACAGCTACTAACTATGACTCGAAGCAAGGGAAGTGAAGTGCGTTGCGAGTACCTAGCGAGCCAGAATATATCCTACGACGTGAAAGTCCAGAATCTGCATAGGCAAAAACTGTAGCGAGATAAGACATCCAAAATGTAATAAGACTTAAGGTGAGCTGCTACGAAGATATACATGTAATAATGCATGAGGAGCATATCTATATGTATTAGCAAGGGTTTTCGACATACGTGCCCCTAGACATAATCAATAACAGATAATCAAATGAGAAACGCACCAGCGAAGTCAAACAGACAAGGACAGGACATGGTATGGAGGATCAGAAAAGCTAGAAAAGGCCTCGGAAATGGACGGATGACTCAGACAAGTGCGCGGAACTTTCGGAAGATCGGAAGTGTGTCGAGGAATATAAAACATGATTATCACCAGATACATGTCCAATGCCAGCCCGAGTGTTACACCGTGCCTTGTGTGCACCTGCGCTTTCTCACGCTTCATATTGGCCGACCAGTAGTGCCTTCAGCACATACCTCTAGATCCTTGCTGCACTCACTTCTCCTTTAGGGTGGAACGCACTTGTCATCTCAAGTATAGCAGACTAGGCAACACACGACCTTACAGCAATTATAGATACAGTCTGGAGCCTCATTTGCGCCTCACTGTATTGTTGTTTCTACAATGCCTTCGCTGCTTTAAGACAACTATATTTGGTCAAAGCATTATCCTTGGTGATGAGGCGGTCTGCAAGCTGAGCTTCCGTTTTGCATACTTCGCGTTCCACACGTACTAGTGCCAGGAAACATCTGGCCTCTTTGACATCTTGTGGGGGACTTTCTTTGGCCTCAGCGACGATTAATGGAGGATCCTTGCACAATGTATAATAAGCATTGAATCTGCACGAACTTGAAAATCTATTTACTCATGAAAGGAGGGTGTGATAACTGCAATACAGATATGGGATAGTCTGGTGTTTGTGTTGTGACTTGGTAATGGAGTATTGGAATGTGGGGAATCAGCCTGCTGAAGTGACATGACTAGTTGTATATGTGTGCAAAGTTCAAACATTGTCAGGAATTGCTGATATCATCTTTCTACCCATGTACTCCACGAATCATCCACGATGACTCACATATAATTCAGCTCAGGCTATTGCTATAAACAATATCCCTTGCCCATCTTGTGGCAAGCATGTTAAAAATAATACTTGTGTATTGCAACATGTGAATCAACCTACGTCTCGATGCAGCAAGAAACATCACCATTTGTGACTCATCCAAATATCTTATTGTGATGCCATGGGACAACACTGCAGGAACTCTTTGGACGACGACAGTGAACCTGCAAACTTAGAGATGGCCAATGATATTTACCAGACCAACAGTGATATTGACCAGTTTACCCTCAATGTGCCAGTGGTAAACACTGACATCGGCCAGCAATCCTCAGCAGTCAAAGGGGGTATGGAGCAGGGACAGGCAGTCGAATACTGTCCAAATGTTCCAAGAGTTTATACTGGAGGAATGACATTCATGGATGGTTTTGATCAAGACATCTATGCTCATCAAAGAACCGAGGTTCCTTGGTATCCTTTTTGCCAGCCAGAAAGATTGGGAGGTCGCTCATTGGTTGATGCGAACAAACCTTAGCATGTCAGAAATTGACGAATATCTAAATCTTGACTCTGTGAGTTTCCCTTCGGTCTTCTTAACTTTGCATTATGCCTATGTGTAATGTCAGATGATGGAAAGTTCCCTTTTGTTCCGCCATGCCAGGGAGCTATGCCAGTGGTGTGGGTACAACAATTCAGATGGTGTATACTTAACAATGTGTTGGGTCTTGCAGAACCTAGCTGCTATTTGACCCTAAAGGGTTTCTGGACCAGGCTCAAGGCTCAGAGAAGAGGAAACATGATAGAAACTTGCTGATCTCTCAGACTCATAGTAAAACCGGTGAAAAGATAACTTTATTATGTAAGCTAAGGTGCAAACATAACTATAGGTAAAACAGTCTCTGCAAGCCTAGCCAGGAATTATTCCCTACAGCAGGTGGAGATGTTACCATCAGGCCCACATTGGAAGTATGAAGATGTCGTAACTGACTGCCCTATGAAACGCCCACTTTGTCTATTCTATCGCAATGTGATTGGCTGTCTACAATCTCTTCTCAGTGATCCTCAGCTTGCAGATTGTATTGATTTCAACTGTTGGAAGGTTTATGAGTCTGCCGATAGACTTTCTCGTGTATATAATAGTTTTATGATGGGCAATCATTCATGGTACCTCCAGGTACATTTTATATGTGAATCTTCAGTGCTAAATGCTCATTTTACCCTCTTTAGTGTCAGATCCCTCAGAGTGCGTCTCTGCTTGGGGTGATCTTGTCCTTGGACAAAAAAAAAGTCACCAATATATCTGGTAATCAATATGCTCACCCTGTCCTGATAAGCCTGGCAAACATCACTTCTTCTTCATGCGCTAAGGCTTCACTCCATGCATATTTATTTGTCACTGTAGAGACTCATGCCTCTCATGGCGTGATATGGCAGTTTTCACCAAGGAGTATACAGCACGAACTTGCAGCACCACTCTGTGTGCTATCCACAGCTATTCCTATATGAGGCACAGCTTTCCCATGCAACACGCACCATGCATGCATACTTCCTGTGCTTCACGATGTATATGCGTGTGCGCTTTCCTGTGCTTGAGCGCCCTATAGCGCCAGCCATCCAGAAGCATCCACTGTCCACCAAGCCCTCTAGTGCATATATTTCCATTTCTCTTATTAGCATATTGTTCCACCTTTATTTTTATCATGGACTCTGCTTCTCAGCTTCATTTCAGCTCCCTATACTGTGGAAAAATAATAACATTGTGTGAAGATATGGTTATTTTAATTTGATGACTCATTGAGACACTTTTTTGACTTTGAGTTTAACTAGTGTAATCTCTATAATTCTAGTACTTTGTGTGACCTCCTTTTGCCCTAATCACTTCTGCCACTCTTCTAGACATATTCTCTATCAATTTTTGGTATTCCTCTTTGGTATTTCCATCATACTCTGCTGGAACACTGTCACATAGTTGGAATAGCCCCTATGGTGGATCTTGATATGCTACAAGCAATTTCTTGAGTGATTCTCAGGAGTATTCAATAGGGTTGATGTCTTGGGTCTATGCTGAATATGATAGAACAATATTATCATGGTCTTCAAGCTATTTGGTAGCCAATCTAGAAGGTTGCTCTATAAGACTTAAGATCTCTTAATCACTATATTCTAATTAGGAAGGCTGCTGATGCTATTAAAGTGACTAAATTAATTATTTCCATCATCTCTATGACTATCTCTACTCAAATAGTCAGACAGACTCTCAAGACAGCCCATCTTAAAGCTATAATCAAGAAAAACAGATTCTTCTGTCTCCAACCTATAAAAAGAAAAGACAAGATGCTGCTTTGAAGTACAAATACTGGACTGCTAATAGCTGAAAAAGGTTTATCTAGTTAGATAAGGTTAAAATCAATAGGATGAGCCAGGAATTTATATTAAAATAGATAGGACAACCATTAAGATAAAGAAAAGTTGAATGAACACTTAAGTTTCAAGAAAACCTGATGGTATAGGACTATATGAGATAAAATGGAGTGGGAATTCTCTATGAAGCAAAGGGGAGGATGAATACAGAGTAGTAAATGCTTATTTGACAGGAGTGTCTGCTAAGAAGCATGCAGGAGTTATGAGTTAATGAAGAAGATACTATTTTGTGATAAGATAATAACCCTAAGTATACCTCTAAATCAGCCACCAATAGCTTGAAGACCATGATAATATTGTTCTATCATGTTCAGCATAGACCCAAGACATCAACCCTATTGAATACTCCCCCATCCACTTCCGCAGGAGGAAGAGAGTCTCTTTGCGACCTATTTGCATCCACCAATAATTCTTCCACAGGCAGGTGAGCAGGTACAGCATGCATATGAGTATGGACAAGACTACATAGACAGATTGTAATGTACAAGGACCAATTATCAGCAGTAAGGATCAACAGAGAAAATTAAGTAGCTGCCACTTGTGAGCATTTAGAGCCTTGTTTTTTTTCCCTTATCAGAATGTGTCTTCCTAGCTTTCTTAGTGCCTACAACTTCCTTGCCACCAAGTCTGGAAATAATGTTGATCAAATTTCTGGCGGGTGACTTGTTGTTTCATTAGCGGGCAGTACAGATGCAGGTGCCTCCATTATGGGTGAAGACTTGGTGATATTAGCAGAGCCTTCTGATGGAATCAAGGGTGCAGTTGAATTAGTGCAATGAAAATTTTCAAGTGTACATAAACTTACCCGAATCAGCAAGCAATTTCTGCTGGAACCTATCTTTGTCCCGCTGCTTGAACTCAGCCTTTGACATCTTCTGGAATTTTTCAGTCCCTGTTTTCCATGTGCTGTTGAGTACCTTGACTTCAGTGTGTGAGCCAATGTCTCCAGGGCTGCAAAATTTTAGCAGTGGCCAGCCCTCGCATACTACACCATATTTTGCTGTAATATTTTCTTCGAAGTTGACATAAACATCCTAGGCATATTAACTTGCGCAGCATCACCTATGAAATTTAAAATTAATACACACTGATATAAAGATAGACTTATGAAGTCATTTGATGATCAATGAACTTGTTTGCGCTTTGAGAGTGATAAGGGCCTGCTTGTAGTTTTGGACAACACCTATGTTTGAGTTAGCAAGGCTTTTTTCAAGCAGATACACTCTGATACTCACCAGTGACCCCAGATAAACATTATGCTTCAAGGTGAGTGGCCACATCAGTGGGCACCTGTTGCAGGGCAAGCTGGAAATAGTCTCCAATATGGTTGTCCAATATGTACATGAAGGGACACAAGTAATGATCAGTGTCACCATGGACTGCTATTGAGAGGCTATAGCATCCTGTACAAGCTGACAGCACTGTGAGCTACCAGACATAGACTTTAGCATGTAAGGGAAGGAGGTCATTTGTCACTTACTTCATTAGAGATAGATTTGAGAGTGACACACTGTAGAAACAACAATACAGTGAGGTGTGAACAAGGCTCCTGACTGTATCTATAATTGTTGTAAGGTCGCGTGTTGCCTAGTCTGCTATACTTGAGATGACAAGTGTGTTCGACCCTAAAGGGGAAGCGAGTGCAGCAAGGATCTAGAGGTATGTGCTGAAGGTGCTACTGGTCGGCCAATGCGAAGCGCAAGAAAGTGCAGGTGTGCGTGGAGTGCAGGAATGTGCGCATGTATTGCGTGAAGCGTGGGAAATTGTGCACGTGTATGTGGAAATGAGAGAGTGTAAGAGTGTGTTTGCTTAAGTGATGATTATGATGCAAGACAAGAGATGCGAGTGCGAGGTGAATGTCAGAGAATAGATTCCTACTGCGACTTTCTAGGGAACTAGGTAGTGAGTACTTGGGGGTTCAGTAAGTTAGTGTGTAAGTGAAAAGTTCAAAAGTATGTACTGCTGGCGCTTATATATGGCACCTAAGCGCTACTGAGTAAAGTATGTGAAGATATATGTAATTAAGGGTCCATGATAAAAGTAAAGGTGGAACAATATGCAAATAAGGGAAATGGAATTATACGTGCTAGAGAATTTAGTGGACTGTGGATGGATGTGTCTGGATGGCTGGTGCTATAGGGCACTCAAGCACAGGAAAGCGCGCGCGCATATACATTGTGAAGCACAGGAAGTGTGCATGCATGGCATGCATTGCATGGGAAAGCTGCGCCTCATATAGGAATAGCTGCAGGTAGCATACAGAGTGACACTACAAGTTCATGCCATGTACTCCCTAGTGAAAACTGCCATATCACACCATGAGAGGCATGAGTCTCTACAATGTGTGTCGTGGAATGTGGTGATAGGCACATTATTAACACCTGTGCATTTGTTAATACAGTGCTTCTCAAGCAACACCATCGCTTCCTCGGTAGCAGCTTTCTTGCCATCATTACTCATGGCTTTCCAATTGACAGAAATTTCCCCCGCTAGTTCAGTAGCCTTACAACAAGGTTCATTGTCAGGTAGTGCTTCAGAGTACAGACAGGTCAGCAAAAAAATGTAGTATCATCCTCATAGACTGTACCTTTGTTATACTTTTCACTTCAGCATGGAGGTATGTGTTCCACAGATTGCACGCCCTCTGGTGTTTGGTCATATGTGATGTCTGGATAATGGCTTCATAGTAGTAGTCAACTGTGTGAGAGCCAAGCATTTCGTGCATCTTGACAGCCTCTTGCATTAGTATGTCTTGTGCTTCAGCAAGTGCGGTGTGATAATCTGTCTTCCTCTTGAGGCACTTCTCAGCAAGAGCTTTTTTTTGGCTACTGATTTCTTCACTATTTGCTTTCTCTTCATTCGTGAGCACCATGGTGTGTACTGTGCAGAGACAGACGAGTCATGTTGAGCAGGGGATAGTGTTTAATACAAATGAGAGATCAGTGGTAGTATATATGTAAATGAAGCAAACAATGAGTGAAAATTAGTACACAGATTGGTAATCCTCCCACCAAGTATCAGGGCTGCTGATGAGTTCATATATGTAAATGGCTTCTGCCTGAGACACACCCCTTGGGCAGACATAGTCGACAAAATATGATGCACAGTACACCTCCGTGAATCCAAGTAGGATGTGAAATATGGTGCTGCCCTTATAGCCATGAGCATCAAGGTACTTCTCTGCAGCCAAGCCAAGAAGGCCACAGGGAGGGTATTCTTCACTGCTGCGAATGCTGGGATCAGGTGGACCATATTCTTCTCCAACAACTCCAGCAAGCGATCTGGTGAGACAATAAATCTTGCAAGGCTCGGAATTGGTGGGCTGTGTGACAGATGGTCTTGCCATTGTCCTTGAGGAAATATGTAACTTCAAAGATGAAGGATGTGTGGGGGACACTGGAGCGCACAATGGTAGTGATATTGATTGGGTGGGTGTGGTTTTATTTCCTCTGGTGAGCATGAACTCAACAGCCTCGACAAATGTCCTAGTTTTCTTGAACTTCCGCACTTGTTGTCTACTCACTTGCCGAGATGCTACTTCCCTGTACCGCAGTTCAATAATCATTAGTAAAGACAATGTGTAGTACTCACCAGGTAAGGTATATTCCAACATTTCTACTGCACACAACAGGGTAAAATGGTGTGTGATGCGAAAATATTGCTTTGAGGGCCTGAGACTGTAAGAGAGAGTCCGTCACACTGATTGGTGGTACTTGTTGGCTGAGCGACTTGATAAAAGGCTGCAAAGTCATGACATGTTCAGCTTGTTCAGTAGTTTTGCATCCAACAACCAGTGACCATGCTGGTTGTCTTGTACTGGTGAATGGGCTTGTGATGATTGTATCAGCCTCAATTTTTGGCAAGATCAAGCAATTTATTCACTAAATATTTACTATGCCAGGATCTCAATCACCCAATACCGCAAACACAGCCATTATCAAAGCCAGTGAGCAGTGGTGCACACTGCACAGACAGCAAGTGCAAGAACAAAGTTATGCAACATGCACGATCAATAAAGTCACATTGACCTGCACCAAACCGGTTCGGTGCATGGACGACCAATACTCTCTCATGAGTCATATACCCTGAAATACCACTATGAAACCCTTTTCCCTTTTATCTGAAGTTGGACTGAGGCTAAGGGAATATTTTTTGCTTTTATTTTTATTTTTCAAGTCTGTATACCAGCAGCCTGAATATTTTAGTACATTTAATTCTGCGATGAGTTTTGCTTAGTCAGCCATGGTGATGACTCAGACAAAATCCCACACATGTCAGGTGACTGTGAAAAATATTTCCCACATATGTTGTCCTGGAAAAACATTAGTAAACCCCTAAATACTAGGCTCGCATCATTCTCACCCTTCAAACAAAGCAAAGCAAAGACAGCCACACACAGGGTTCATATCATGTGACACTTCTTACTCTCCTTCTGGATTTGTCATCAGGGGTTGGACAGGTCACATGACTTAGCAAAATACCCAATGACTCACTATGACTCACTCTAAATACTTACTATGACTCACTATGACTCACCTTGCACATATGACTCATTATGACTCTTGATGACTCTTGAATACACCAGTAGCACAGCCACATTTATTGTGTATATAATGACCCCAGTTTTTGAAATAATAGCAAGCGAACAGCAGCAGATAGTAGGGTGTTTTTCAGCCCATCTGTTAAGACCATGCACAAAGGGTAGGACTGATTCTGAGGGGCTTGGCTTCAGCTCGTGCGCTGTGCCCCTTACCCGAGTATGTGCCCTTAATTTCAGATTGATGTCCAAGGAAAGTCCAAAGACGTCTGAAGGACATCCGAAGGTGCGGGAAACTTCGGAAGGACTTTCCGGACGGGTGCAAGTAACTTCCGGATGAGTGCGGGAAAGTTCCGGAGGAACTTCCAGAAATTACGATGAGGTTTCGTCCTGATACGGATATGTATAATGGCTACTCGGGACTTGTCCTGAGTAGAAGTAAACAGAGGAAAGGCTGCAAGGACAAAGTCCGAAGCAGAATAGGTCCGGAGGACCGTGGGAAAGATCCGGATGAACTTCCGGAAACTATGGAGGATTGGATGAGCGGATGAGCGGAGTATCGGATAAGCAGAGCTCCAGCCTAGGGAGAAACTCCCTAGGCCTGAGATGGATAACAACTAAGTTGGAAGACTAGAACTGATATGAGGACTTAGAGTGAAGACTAGTGTGAGGACTAATATGATATTCAGACTGAGGTACTACAAGACATATACACGAGTTTATATACTAAGAGAAATAACGGAAGGATCAATAAGCAGAGTCCAAGGCTATGTATGAAGCATATGCAAAGGTTGACAAACGCGAGTCGGAAATGAACATAGGTTAACAGATCAGTAAGCATACTGGTAATAGATATAACCGAGGTACCAGTAACAAGGAATACCAGATAGGCTGTGTTAACGTTATATGCACAGGAAATGAATTATGAAGCTTATCATATATCGGATAGGAAACAGATCTATACATCGGATCGGACCGGATATAGTCCGGATGAGATGCGTGGATATATAGGATGTGGCATTAGGGCAACGGGACAAGGATGAATGATGCAGGCTAGCTGCGAAGGATAAGGGATCTGGATGTGGACATGCGGATGTGGATGTGCAGAGGTGCAGGGATCCGGATGGGTACTGGAGACATGGATAGGACATCCGAAGGTCCGGATGAGGCGTGGGAATATTATCGGATGTAGGTCCGGAATATGGGATATGACACCATCTAACACTAAGTTGTGAGTAAGGTGTGATAAGTGTCAGTACCAGTGTCAAGAACTGTCTTAAGACTAAGAGGAACATTCTCAAGAGACAGTAATACTGCAAGCTCATCATACTGAACGACCAGCTGTGAGCTCACTGTGTGCAACAACCAGCAAGCAAGGTACAGCCACAGTTATATTCTGATTTCTATTATTCTTTTTCTTTTCTTTTACTTTCACCAACCTTTGGTGTTCTTTGTCCAAAAATATATTTCCAAAATATTGGTGTTGTCTCTACGTCCACCTAAGACTCAGAGTAGCATAGTGGGGAGACTTTAGGAATTGATAGTGAAGCTTGACCTCACTCATCTGAGTAGCAATACTGAGCCAAGATATTCTGTGCCTGCTAGGCTTTAGCTGTTGAAGAGGGGACTTGGTAGTAAATCCAAGGACATCCGTTCCTGAGTCTGTTTGAATACTTAAAGAAGAGTTCCTTAACAGCAGGTTCAATATTGAGCTAAGAGTTCTACAATAAAGCATTTGACTAGTCTTGACCTTTGATTCTACCTGCTTTGTGCTGAGGGAGTTGATCATTATAGTTCTGCACCAATTCTTTTGGAGTATAGTTGGTATGAGGCACTGTTGTTGAAGGGGAACTTGAGGAAAAATCACATATATTCTTTTGGTCATTGCCATACTGTCGGGCTGACCATTATTTGTTTGTTTTCCTGTCAAGTCCACAGATTGGATTAACTATCATATTTACTGATCTTGCAGAAGTATCCTTTAGCTGAACATACCTTGGGTAGTATACAACTAGCCACCCACGAACAACCATGTTATCAGTCATTGGTATTTGTCTGAATCGCTGACCATGGAGATATTTGTTTTTATAGGTGTTTATCTATAGATCATCTATCTAAGAAGACAATGCGTGCACATATAGTGCGAAGCACAGGAAAGTGTGCGTGTGTATGCGGAAACAAGAGAGAGTAAGAGTGAGTTTGCTTAAATGATGTTTTAGATACTAGACAAGAGATGCAAGTGTGAGGTGAATATCAGAGAACAGATTTCTATTATGTTCTGCTAGGTAGTAAGTGGTGGAAAGTTAAGTAAAAGGTAAGTTGGTAGAAAAAAGTAAAAGTCATAGTATGTACTGCTGGCGCTTATATGTGGCACCTAAGCACTGTCATGCAGAGCCAAAGCACTACCGAGTAAGGTATGTGAAGATATATATAAGTAAGGGTTCATGATAAAAATAAGGTGGAACAATATGCAAATAAGGGCAAATGGAAATATACACACTAGAGGGCTTGGTGGACAGTGTCTGGATGTGTCTGGATGGCTGGCGCTATAGGGCGCTCAAGCACGGGAAAGTGCGCGCATATACATCATGAAGCACGGGAAGTGTGCACACGTTGCGCAGGAGAGCTGCGCCTCATATAGGAATAGCTGTGGATAGCACACAGAGTAGTGCTGCAAGGTCGTACAATAAACTCCCTAGTGAAAAGTGCCATATCATACCATGAGAGGCATGAGTCTCTACAGCATGGAAGAGGCTAGGAGATGCTGAGCTGACAGTGGGACGGGCACGCTCAATACTATCAGAAAACAGGTTCTCTGTCTCTGAAATCACTCTTGCTACATGTTGGTCGGAGCACACACCAATTGGCAATAACAAGCAGATGGGTGAGCTTTTTTTTTCATTAGTAGTACTCATCTCACCTTTTCTATAGTTCATTTCATTGCACAGTTGGACTGACAGTTGTATACGAGTTGAATATGTAGATAACATATATTAGATTGCATTTTGTTGTCTTATTGCTGTATTATAATTAGTACTCATTTTTCATATCTAATAACAAAATTTCAACATGAAGGTCTATGTTAAACTGGCATGAACTTTGTTATACTAGTACCAACTTAAACAATTAATAACAAGATGTGTCTGTTGAGCATCTGTGGTATCTGTCGCATCTGTGGTACCTTGGGAATTGGGGGCCTGTGGATCCTGGAGTCTCTGTGATAGGACAGGATAAGGATGCGCGATGGGGCCGAGTAAAAGCCGTTACGGTCTGATATACGCACGCAAGCCGCGGCCGTCGGCCGATAGCAGAAAAGATGCGTGCGCAACGCGAGGACCTATGGGACAACGCAAAAATAGCCTTTACAAGGTCACAAGGACTCTAAGTCCTACAGTGTGCTATATAAGTGCCAGCAGTACATACTATGAGGACCTTACTTCACTTTTGCACTCACTTACTAGTTACTACCCACTTACTACTTAGTAGAACATAGTAGAAATCTATTTGTCTACACTTCGCATCTCTCTTCTCTTGTCTTACATCATATCATCACTTAAGCAAACTCACTCTTACTCTATCGTTTCCGCATATGCACACGCACTTTCCCGCGCTTCACACAGCACACGCGCGCATTCCCGCGCCTTTGTGCCTTGCGCGCACCTGCGCTTTCTCGCGCTTCACATTGGCCGAACAGTAGCGCCTTCAGTGCATATCACTAGATCCTTGCTGCACTTGCTTCCCCTTTAGGGTCGAACGCACTTGTCTTCTCAAGCATAGCAGACTAGGCAATGCGCAACCTTTCAACATTTATAGATACAGTCAGGAGCCTCATTTGTGCCTCGCTGTGTTGTTGTTTCTACATCACGCTTATCCCAGTACCAAAATTTGTCCATTCTAACGCAAGGGTGCGTGGCATACTTGTGGATCAGCTGTTCCACCAGTGCATCAGCATTGTAACCAAACCACTGAAGGCAGCTGCCAAAATGGGCATCATGATGAATGGCCCTGTTGGCAATAGCAGGTATTGCTTCATGCCCTTGATTTCCTATGTTGCAGATACTCCTGAGGAGCTCCTGGTTGCCTGTGTTTGCAGCAATGTGTCTCCTGTCACCACCGCCACCCGAGATCAGTTCGGGGATCCCTTCCACCATCTGCTTTGGAAAGGATCATCCACCCTTGCTCATATCAAAGCTGTTTTGTGATCTGTTGTGCATGCTGATGTCTCTAAATTTTTGCAGCGTGTAAGAAGTTCAACCTGAATGGTGTCTATGAGCCATTCTGGCTGGACTGGCCTTTGTCAGATCCCTCTCAGTTCATTACTCCAGAGGCTCTACATCACTGGCACCACATGTTTTGGGACCACAATCTCAACTGGTGCATTTTCATTGTCGGCATGGACGAATTAGATTTTCAATTCATGCTTTTGCAAGTTCTGACTGGGTACCACTGTAGATGAGGAATCTTGACTATAGGTGAAAACACTTAAAACTAATGGGTGCTCTACAGCAAGACCAGGATACAATGTAGAAACAACAATACAGTGAGGCTCCAGACTGTATCTGTAAATGTTGTAGGTTGTGTGTTGCCTAGTCTGCTATACTTGAGAAGACAAGTGTGTTTGACCCTAAAGGGGAAGTGAGTGCAGCAAGGATCTAGAAGTGTGTGCTAAAGCGAAGCCTGGGAAAGTGTGCGCGTGTATGCAGAAATGAGAAAGAGTAAGAATAAGCTTGCTTAAGTGATGATATGATGTAAGACAAGAGAAGAGAGATGTGAAGTGTAGACAAATAGATTTCTACTATGTTCTACTAAGTAGTAAGTGGGTAGTAACTTGTAAGTGAGTGCAAAAGTGAAGTTCAGTAAGTTAATAGTATGTACTGCTGGCACTTATATAGTGCACCTAAGCGCTGTCATGCAGAGCCAAAGTGCTACCGAGTAAGGTATGTAAAGATATATATGAGTGAGAGTCCATGATAAAAATAAAGGTGGAACAATATGCTAATAAGAGAAATGGAAATATATGCACTAGAGGGCTTGGTGGACAGTGGATGGATGCTTCTGGATGGCTGGCGCTATAGGGCGCTCAAGCGTGGGAAAGCACGTGCACATATACATCACAAAGTGCGGGAATGGTGCGCGTTGCGCAGGAAATCTGCGCCTCATATAGGGATAGCATGAGAGGCATGAGTCTCTACAATGAGACAACGACTCGACCCAAAGGACAACCACTGAGAGAAGTTCCTCAGAATTAAAATGGAGGGAAACTCTATGAGCTAGGCAGGCGCGAGAAGGTAACACGTGTGAAGGCACACAAGATGCACACGTGAGCAGGAGGTTCGAGTATGCGCGCACGCGAAGCGAAGGCGCATTCAGAGCGTTAAGGGAAAAGATCCTGAATGAAGAGTGGATGCACAGATGATAGTTGATAGGAGAATATGATCTGATTTCAAGTGAGGAGGTGAACTATACACTTTGCAGTATACTGAGATAAGGGAAAAGTAAGTACCAGAACCAAAAGAATCCCCTCTGTATTTAAGAAGGGAGATTATGCTATGCAGCGTGCTTCCGAGCGCGCTCCTGAACTGAGTAACCATATCAACTCTCAATATAACTAAGTTTAAATAGACTTTCTATATGTAAACGTGGATGTCGGACCGAAGATTTTGTTAGTTAAATGAAAGAGATAAGAATAATGCACCAGCAAATCAGCAAGGACATGGGATGAATGGACAGACGGTAGCATGAAGACCTAGGAGGAGGCGCACGAACACGCGCGCGAAGTGCAGGTAAGGCATGCGTGAGACTGGTCCTTTGGATTAGAGCTGGATCACATAGGAATGTGTGGATAAGGCACATATTACAGTGACCTATCTCCGTATAATACGAGGGAACAGACGTGCATAATATCCTGTATGATATGGGCCAGCAGACCATGGGCCCAGGATAACAATATCCTCGACTATGACAGATGGGCCAGGAGGCAAATTATTCCCGATGGAGGCGGGTGAGCCCATGCAGGGAATATATAGAGTAGATGAGTGGGCCGATGTACATGAATATTAGGTAGATGGGTGGGCCGAGGTAGTTGGATATTGTGCAGATGGGTGTATTAAGGTAGATGTGTATGAGATAGATGGGTAGGTACTTGTTATCACATTCACGGGTGGGCCCAGACACATATTAAATTAGATGGGTGGGCCGAGGGTATTATAACATATTGTATTATACAGGTGGGCCCAGACACATATTAATTAGACTGGTGGGCTGAGGGTGTTGTATGGGATGTTGTATTAGATGGGTGGGCCGAGGGTGGTATAAAATATAGATGAGTGGGCCCATGTGTATCATAATTGTAGACATGATGGAGCTGAGGTAGTTGTACATCAACCAAATCAGAGGAGGTAATAAATCAAAGTTACCAAGTTCCCAGAGCATCAGGTGATCTCCTGACATGGCAGTGCAAAGCTTGTGTTGCCCTACGAGACGCCAAGTTCTGACCACCAGAATTTGAGTCAACTGTACTGAGTTCCGAGTTCCGGGACCCGGAACTCAACACATAATTTAGTTAATACTTTCCATGTTAAATGGCCAACCGAAGTTGAGATGTTTCTGAAGAGAGCAGCAGGTGCTCTCTTGACATGGCCTTTGATGGTGCTTAGGTTGTCTTGCAGAATGTGGAATCCGGGGTGCAAAGCTTGTGTTGCCCTACGAGAAGCCAAGTTCCAACCACCAAAATGTGAGTCAACCGTACTCAGAGGAGGTAATAAATCAAAGTTACCGAGTTCCCAGAGCTGCAGGTGATCTCCTGACATGGCTGTGCGAAGCTTGTGTTGCCCTATGAGACGCCAAATTCCGACCACCCAAATATGGGTCAACTGTACCGACTTCCGAGTTCTGGGACCCGGGAGTCGACAAATGAATATCTGATGACCAGCACACTTCCAATCAGGTAGTATTTCATTGAGCAATGGATAATAATACATCTTTGACAGCCAAAATTATCCCAGGCTCCCTTATCTGATCCTCTCTATCTCCACCCCCTATAACACCAAAGTCCGGACATCCAGCATTCAGCGTCTGATTTCCCAAAATTAACATCCAGCATGAACGGTTCTTCCCCTTCCCCTCCTGATAGCATAAACATCTGGCGCACTTGGGCCCTGACTGTGACTTATGAAGCAGGGGAATATACCGAACAGAAATTCAAGGCAGAGAAGACTGGAGGAGGCCCAGTCATACCTTCCCCCAACCTAGACACTGATCTGGTGATGGTGTGCGATTGCTTGGCTGATGTACTCATAAAGGCATATAAAAATCCCAGTGGGTCTTCATGCAGATTCGGAAAATTCGTTCTATCATTCAAATGCCTACACGACAGTTCAGATGCAGATGGATATTGCAAGATATAGCAAATTGATCTCCCCGAAGGACACCAGGCATAATGAACATAGAGAGGCAAGGTTGCTTGAGAGGTGTCCTCCTGGCTATGAAGGCAAAAGGTTGGTCGATGAACCTGCCACAATTCTCGATGCATCTGGTGCCATCATTGCATGGTACCTCCCAGACGCCCTGACCGACACCACCCAGGTGTGTAATATACATTGTTACTCAATGGATATTGAATATTAATGGAACCTACAGAAGGAAATCAGGGAGGCCACCGATTTGCTCGCTCCAAGCCTTGAAAAAAGTGTAAGGGCTGATGGCAATTGGCAAACTAATCAAACATTGTTCAACTGGGGCTCAGAAGATGTTGGACCAACTCCCAGATGCATCAATCTATCTCTGGCATGGTTTCAACAGGGACACAAGGTAGGATCCGATGAGATGGTGATTCCGGCAGTCATACTCACCAATCCCAAAGAATGTGTCAGATCCGGAGGTATCTGCATCATTGAAGGGACCTTCCTGCAAGAATATCCTCAAAGCCATTGCAAAGCCAGCAGCCATTGCATCCGTGGCACTCAGAGTCATGCATCCTGAGCAGTACTGGGCAGGATTGAGAACCTTGTCAAACCTTGGAAATATAGCAGTAAGCAAGGATCTGCCACAGATGCCAGAGGCCCTGCAGTACTGGGCATCCGTGTTTAACACCCTCTCCATCATTTCCAATTGGGAAACCCCCCATCATCGAGACCACATGTCCATTGCTGAATGCTTTGACATTCTCACCACCATGGGGAACTATTCTAATGCTCGGATGACAATGCCAAGCCTTCAGCTGGAGTTCAAGTACAATTTTGGCTGTATGATTGCGTTTTCCAGAAGGATTGTGAGACATGGAGTTTATGATGTGGAAGGGGATCAGATTGCTTGGGCATGGTATATGAGGGATTCTGTTCACATTTACACTGGTGTTCCATCATGTGGATGGGCTAGTGTGGATGGTCCATACAGTGTGTGAAAGATCAAACAAAGAGCAAGCATTGTGACCTATATACATTCCAACAAATGAATACCATGTACCAATAGTTATCCAAACCTCAATACTCAATTTTGAGCATTTGCAAAGTGATATGTGGGACTGAATAATTTGGATGCAAGCCTCGGTATTTGATAATTGGAACTCAGGACTTGACATGTGGGAGTCCTGAGTGCTGGGTTACTGAGTCCCGACACCCGGACCTCAGTACATGATATTTGAGACTGGGGGAAGATGTATAAATATGCTCAAATTAACATTTGTTATTGCCATACACATTTGACAAAACCCTGAGCCCTGACATTGTGGACTCCGGACTCGACACTGTTCTGAATACTGATTCCCGGAAGCCCAGGTCCCAAGTCCCGAATTTCGGAGGTCGGGGTTTGGAGACCCAGAGCTTGGCAACTGTGTTGGGTGTCAGGGTATCCAGAGCATTGGAGATAGCATGTGTCAGTATTTTGCGTTTCATGGTTCATGTTTTGTGGTTATGGAATCGGGCGTCAGGGACTCGGTATTGAGAACAGTGTTGAGTCCCAGGTCATGAGCTCCGAGTCCCAAGTTCCGAACCCCAGACCCAACAGTTGCCGAGCTCCGCATCGCTGAACCCTGACCTCCGAAATTCAGGACTCAGGACCCAGTGTAGAGACTCGTGTGTCTCATGGTCTGATATGACAAGTTTTCACTAAGGAGTACATAGCACAAACTTGTAGTGTCACTCTGTGCGCTACCCGCAGCTATCTCTATATGAGGCGCGGCTTTCCTGCGCCATGTGCGCACTCTTCCCGCGCGCGTTCCTGCGCTTGAGCGCCCTATAGCGCCAGCCATCCAGAAGCATCCATCCACTGTCCACCAAGCTCCCTAGTGCGTATATTTCCATTTCCTTTATTAGCATATTGTTCTGTCTTTATTTTTATCATGGATTCTCACTCATATATATCTTTACATACCTACTCGGTAGCGCTTCGGCTCCGCATTACAGCGCTTAGGCGCGCTATATAAGCGCCAGCAGTACATACTATTACGGACGGACTTTCCAATTTTTACAACTTACTTTTCCTACCAGTCACTTACTAGTTAGCAGAACATAGTAGAGATCTATTTGTCTACACTTCACATCTCTCTTCTCTTATATTGTCACTAAAGTCTACCTCTCTATTGTTTCTGCACACACGCACACGCTTTCCCGCGCTTCGCGCTAATACACGCGCGTGTTCCCGCTGTAGGGATTCATTTCTGGTTGGGCTTGTAGAGACTGTTTTTACCTTACCTTATGTTGGCACTTTTGTAGCTTACATAATCAAGCAATCTTTTCACCAGTTACCAGTATGAGTCAGAGTCCTCAGTAGTTTTTATGATATTTCCTCTCCTCTGAGCCTTGAGCCTGGTCCAGAAACCCTTTAGGGTCGAATAGCAGCTAGGTTCTGCAAGACCCAACACATTGTTCAGACTCACCATCTGAATTGTTGTACCTTCACCGCGCCTTGCGCACACCTGCACTTTCTCGCGCTTCGCTTCAGCGCATACCTCTAGATCTTCGCTGCACTCGCTTCCCCTATAGGGTCGAATGCACTTGTCTTTTCAAGTATAGCAGACTAGGCAATGTGCGACCTTACAACTTTTACAGATACAGTCTGGAGCATCATTTGTTCCTCTCTGTATTGTTGTTTCTACACTGGGGTTCAGCACTCGGGACTTGGAGCTCGTGACCTGGGACTCGACACTGTTCTCAATACCAAGTCCCTGACACCCGATTCCATAACCACAAAACATGAACCATGAAACACAAAATACTGACACATGCTATCTCCAATGCTCTGGATACCCTAACACCCAACACAGTTGCCGAGCTCCGGGTCTCCGAACTCCGACCTCCAAAATTCAGGACTCGGGACCTGGGCTTCCGGGACTCGGATGTGAGATTTTTGAATGCATAGAATATGTTACATCTTGTATACAATGAAGACTGAATGGGACTACACTCCTTTGCCTTTCCTCAATTTCTCTAACATGTCAGTGTACATCTTCACCTCTCCCATCTTGGCTTTGATGCCCTGATCTTGCTCCTCCATCAATGCTTCCATGTGTTCTTTAATGAACCTCAGTCCCATAAGTGGTGGAGTCGAAGTGTTTTTCAACTTCTCTGGAAGAACCAAAGCATCATCCTCAACATTAAGCTGAAACAGATAAGTCATCAATCAAGGTAATTCAGCTAAGATCTTACTGCCCAATACTGGTAGTGAGAGATGCAGGAAGCCATTATTTCATCCCACTGCCATGGTTGATCAGGGATTGTGGTGTTTCCCATCCACCATGGACATGTATATGGAAACACAATCCAGGACGGTGAAGGTACAACAATTCAGATGGTGAGTCTGAACAATGTGTTGGGTCTTGCAGAACCTAGCTGCTATTTGACCCTAAAGGGTTTCTGGACCAGGCTCAAGGCTCAGAGTAGAGGAAATATCATAAAAACTTGCTGATCTCTCAGACTCATAGTAAAACTGGTGAAAAGGTAACTTGATTATGTAAGCTACAGAAGTGCCAACATAAGGTAAGGTAAAAACAGTCTCTACCAGCCCAGCCAGAAATGAATCCCTACAACAGATGTCCTGCAATTGGCTCATCATGAAATGAAAGGAGGTGGAATGAAAAGATGTCATCTGGAACCGTGTTCCAGGTTAGCATGGGATACAACTTAAGGATATAAGGGACAAGGACCGGAACCACCGACATGATGTAGGGATTCATTTCTGGCTGGGCTGGTAGAGACTGTTTTTACCTTACCTTATGTTGGCACTTTTGTAGCTTACATAATCAAGTTATCTTTTCACCAGTATCAGTATGAGTCTGAGTGCTCAGCAAGTTTTCATGATATTTCCTCTCCTCTGAGCCTTGAGCCTGGTCCAGAAACCCTTTAGGGTCGAATAGCAGCTAGGTTCTGCAAGACCCAACATTGTTCAGACTCACCATCTGAATTGTTGTACCTTCAATGATATTCTGTGAAGCGGAGTACTGTAGGAGTGGTGTGACAAAAGTCTGCTCAAATTCTTAGCATTGACCAACAAAGTCATTAGGGCAGTGGTGACATACATTCATCTCCCATTGCAGCCCAGCTTTAAAATACTTGATCCAGTCAGAAGATACACCATTGTTGGCAGCTTCCGTCTGATATTGAGAGATGCATGCATGGACGCGCGATCCAGCCATTGCCAATGTGCAGGAAATAGTTCCAAGGCTCAGCTTCAGGGGTCGGTAATGGCTTCCAGCATTCAGAGTGCCAGAAGTGGATGCAGGAGTTGCAGACATGACTAATACAGGACTATGGCGCTGGCAATACAAGTGAAAGATGGTGAAGATGTGAAGATAAGAATCACTGATGGATGGATATGAAATTCAAACTCCGATATGGGCTGACCTGGACAATTCCCGGGCCTCAATTATGTATGTGGAAAAAGGGACTTCATGAGAAAACAATGTTCATTCATCTCCAGCCTCTATCAACACGTTTTGTAGGTCTTGAAAAGCTGCCTGCGCATCCTGTGTGAGCAATGAATACATTTGGGATTGCCTTCCGGCATAGCATCCATGACCCGGAAGGCGTTTCTCCAATGATTCCTGCATGTGGTCGCCCCATTGGGTTGTTTTCCACAAAGGGAACTTACATGTCCAATCCATCTCCAATTTGACCAATAGCATTTCTTCCCTCCATTGATCCCATAGTGCCTTTGCCCTCAGCCAATGGATCAGTAAACTTGGCATGGGTCCAGTCAGGTAACTGCGGGATATGACATGCAAGCAGAAACTCACATTCCTCATTCCACGATTGATCGGGACCCCTGAGGTCGACTTCAACAGACCAAAACCAAGCCAAAGATTCATTTCATTGACCTCGGTGTAGAGACTCATGCATCTCATAGTGTGATATGGCGCTTTACACTAGGGAGTATACAGCACCAACTCGCAGCATCACTCTGTGTACCATCCACAGTGATTCCTATATGACGCACAGCTTTCCCGTGCAATGCGCGCCATGCGCGCACCATTCCCGCGCTTCACGATGTATACGCGCGCGCGCGTTCCCGCGCTTGCGCGCCCTATAGCGCCAGCCATCCAGATGCATCCATCCACTGTCCACCAAGCTCCCTAGTGCGTATATTTCCATTTCCTTTATTAGCATAGTTCCACCTTTATTTTTATCATAGTTTCTCACTCATATATATTTTTACATACCTACTCGGTAGCGCTTCGGCTCTGCATGAGCGCGCTTAGGCGCGCTATATAAGCGCCAGCAGTACAACCTTACTTTTCACCCAACTTTACCTAGTACTTACTACTTAGAAAGTCGCAGTAGAAATCTATTCATTAGCACAACACATCTCACATCCTTTATCTTGCTTATATCTTCACATAAGTTTAGTCTCTCTTATTTCCGCTTACACGCACGCGCTTTCCCGCGCTTCGCGCTAATACGCGCGCGCGTTCCCGCGCCTTCGTACCTTGCGCGCACCTGCGCTTTCTCGCGCTTCGCTGAAGCGCGTACCTCTAGATCTCCGCTGCACCTGCTTCCCCTTTAGGGTCGAATGCACTTGCCATCTCAAGTATCGCAGACTAGGCAACGCACGACCTACAACTTTTTAGATACAGTCAGGAGCATTTCTTTGTTCCTCTCAGTATTGTTGTTTCTACATCGGGCATTTGGGTCGCCCACTGCAGTGCTGATTTTGAGTTGCTTGCGAAGCAGGGGTTTGTATTTCTGAAGCTGGTCTTGCCCCAGCTCAAGTTTCATCATTTGCTTCCTTGTCTTTGTATATATGGTGGCATGGAGGGAGACTGCCTGCTGCACCGACGTCACCTGGGACCAAGCTTGAGTTTTCAGGGCCTGGGATTTGGCCTGCCTAATGGTTGTTCGGAACAGGATGGCCTTGTTGCAAAGGTAAATGCAGAGATTGTGAAGGGCATCATTGGCCTGCCCTTCATGAAGTGACATCTCCAGGGGAATCAGATCCTCTGCCATGCATTGTCTGCATCTATCAACCCCCAGGTTCGATGGCAATGGGATTACAGTGAGCTCGGGAGAGTTTGTCCATGTATGAGATGTCTCTGTGAAATCCACCAGGTCATCATTGAGATCATCTAGAATGTCTATGTCCAAGTCCTCAGGTTCATCATCTACATCAAATCCCTCCCCGAGATGTGTTAGAGCAGACCGAGCAAATCCATCTATCTGGCCTTGGAGCTGATCCCATTGACAGGCAATGTCTAATCTCTGTGTCTCGGTGGATCTTCTTCCGATCCTTCGGACCTCAATGAGCAATGCAATCTGAGCCTCTTCAATTGCTAACCCTGTTGATATCCATGTTGCCACAGATCTGCGAGAGGGTGCTGCATTGCGGGTGTTACCCTCCTCTAATAATCTAAGCTCAATCTCCTTTTTGCTAGGTGCTGAGTGCAATATTAATTCAGACCTCAATGGAGACAATGGAACTCAATGTATTCTTTTTGATATTGATCTCATATTCATCCATGGCTGAAGGATCATTCAATCTGCTTGACTGAGCTATCCTCTCCCTGGCTAACCATCCTGTCTTCAAATGTGAGGGTGCTGCTTCATCGAGTCTGTCGAATGCCTTTCCACTTTCCAAGATGCCATTCCTAGCCAGTTTGTATTTCCGGCATAGAGTCCTTTTCATGCGAATCATCTTGCAGAAATTGGAGTCATTCATCTGATAATCAAGGCATTCCTTTCAGTGGGGAGATGACATTCCCCAAGCAGCAGGGGAGATCAGATTGAGCCATGCCCATAGCGTCTCCATGATCTCTCCATTGATCTGACCAATGCCTTCAATAAAGTTAGAAGCATATTGGACATAGCAGCTGTCCTGATGGCCATGAACATGCCATAACTGTTATGATGATAGTCGCGTGCGGACTGGGATAATCTAACAGCGATGATCACAATAGTGATACCTTATGCTGAGAGTCCAAGGTCGGCTCCTACAGACAAGTAAGAGTTGCATATGCTAGCGGTGGCGAGCGATGATAGCGATTACAGGCAGAAGGGGTCTCAAGTCCTTCTGAAGGTGCGAGTTCAGATGTCAAGCAAGTAGCTTTAGCAAGACAAGGAGTTCAAGGTAAAACCCAGTAAGATTAAAGTAAGGAACATCTACTTTAATCTTCGACCTTATATAAGGCTACTCTATTGTATCTAAGCTCAGCTTGAAGCTGGGTTCTAATCTGCTTATCTATCGAGTCAGAGATACCATGCATGAGGCAGGCTTCTATCTAAGATAAGGACCATGAGGTGTCCTTCTATCAGTACATGAGGCAACCATGAGGCTTACCTTCTATCTTGATAACATAAATAGGTCTTCTAGACCTATGTATGTCGTCATATGTCATGTAAGCAATCCAGACCGCTTATCTAAGCCGGCATCTTCCGGGCTTCTCTTCTAGTTGTCATCTGTCATCAAGGCCTAAAGGCCCGGTTATTGTGTCATTGCCGTGTGGGGTGGCAGGGGGCATGTCTGTAGCTGGGGGCTCACATCATGTTACTGTAACAATAACCCAATTCCGGGAATGATGGTTAGTTGTGGTGCCATTTCTAGAAATCAACTTCGATCCACCCGATGTAGAGACTAATATCTCTGTGGCCTTGCAGGGGTCTAAAATCCCATTCTTACTACCACTTCCTCACATAGCGCGACTCATACCTCACGCAGCGCGCCCCCGCGCTTTGTCGGCCGCTTGCAAGCGCCAGCGCTCCGGTCACTTCTTAGTCGCGCATCAGCGCGCACATCCTTGGTTCCGTCGCACATCCTCCGTCCATCCATTCCATGTCCGTTTGGTTCGTTGGTGCGTATTCCGATTCTATTTTCATTGATTTAACATATCTCCGGCGCTTATGGTCATATTTCGTATGTTTCCGTTATGAACCCTTATTACATATTATCTCGCGTCCGCTTCGCTTCTCGGCTCGCTTTAGCGCTTGACAGCGCTTATCATTACTTAGTATATATAGACGTACATAAACTGTGTAAGGGTATCTTTTCCTGCCCACACGTCGTTGGACTATAAGTCTAAAGTTATCCTCTAAAAACTAGAAAGGGTATCAAAGTACAATACGAGCGCCGTCGCCGTACTCTACTAGAAACTCTGTCAAATTAGTATTCTGACTCATTAAGAGTCGCTGCGCTCTATCACCCCCGCGCGCATCGCTTCTGCTTAAAGCGCGCGCTTCCGTATAAGTTGCGCGCCGATATCTGTCGTCAGCCGCTATCGCTCATCGGCGCCTCACGTCGCTTTCGTTCGCTTGCGCTTCGCTCATTGTCGCGCGCCTAACCAGGCTTGACCAAGCGCCTGGTTCAGTGTTTCCCTCCGTTTATACACCTAGAGGAACCTTCTCAGTAGCAATCCCCTTGGGCCGACGTATATCTCGCTCACCGAGGACTACTTGAGTTATCTCACACCACCTATTTTCACCCACTTCCCATTCCTCTTCTACAACTGGAGCCCACCGCGAGGGGATCATCTGAGAAAACCGGTAGGTTACTCAGGCCTACTAAAGAACGCGTCGCAAGAAACGAAGTCTTGGAAGAATTTCGAAGAGCGGTCGCCTCTTCGTGCTTATCCACCATTCAGGAAATTTTGACTCCGGTCAAATATAATCGGCCGCGAAACTTCTCGGAGCCAACGCGCCCCGATCTATCCCTATTAACACCAAACCCGTTTGCACCCGCATCGCCAGTAACGCCATCGCCCAGAGAATCAGTACACGGCGAATCCTCGGACGAATTCGAATCACACGACCATCCCCGCAACCTGCCGCCCGGCGCATTTGTTGAAACACCTAAAAATCCCCTAGATCCGAACTTTATTCCTTTGTCTCCACTTACCCCGCTAACCATATCCAGCGCGACTGTAAAAGAAGAACCTTCATCTCGGATACACGCGCCGCCAGCAAGCGCAGCGCCTATCGTGAAAACAGAACAAACGGAACCCCTAATCGGGCCGAACTCTATTCGGAACCGCGCCGCCATATTTATCCCTCAGTTTGGTCATCCTGGACCTTCAAACGTCATACTTCCAACACCCATCATAGCCCAACCTCAACCTACCAAACCCCAATCCCAACCTATCCAAATGGCCGCAACTATCAGAATGCCGATTCGTGGTTCGGACAAAGCGCCGAAGTTCGACGGCACGGCGGAAAATCTTCTTGCATTTATTGAGGATTATGAAGCGTGCGCCGACGACGCGAACCTCGTCGGAGGCGATCGCATCAAGGGTATCATCCGCTACTTGCCTAACAGCGAGCGCGCGCTCTGGTCCGGAATGCCGGAGGCAAAGTTAAGCGACTATAATGCCTTTATTAAGGAGGTAAAGGAAATGTATCCCGGTTGTGAAGGCAAGAAGCGTTACGCAGTATCCGACCTACAGTCGGTAACGCGCAAACACGCGGCTCTACCAATGCCTTCGCTCACCGAGCTCGGCAATTACCGCCGCGCCTTCAGGGAGATTGCTGATTCCTTGATTGCGAAGGATCACATAGGTACAGCGGAACGGAACCGCATGTGGTTAGAAGGGTTTCCGAGCGATATCCAAGCGCTGCTTCGCATGCGCTTAATGATCAAATTCCCAGATCACCACCCGCGCGACCCTTACCCTTTTGCAGATGTAGACGCAGCCGCCAAATTCTTGATTCCAGGAATGGGAACAGTAAGCCCTGAAACCGTAGGGACGTCGGTATTGACGCCATATCCAAGCGCTACCGCACCGGCGGCAAAAGCACCGCAACAACCGGCGCAAGGTACCGTTGTCAAGCAGGAATACCAAGCCCGACGACCCGGTAGTGGTTCACCATCGAGCGGTTGTATGTTTTGCGGAAAGAACGACCATTTCCTCAGCCGCTGTCAAGAGAAGGACACCTACATTAGCGCCGGCAAGTGTAAGGTACACGAAACCTCGATGAAACTGGTATTAACCAGCGGAGATTGGATTCCCGGTCGCGCGAGCGACGGTACCCTAAAGGACCGACTAGATAGGTATCACTCCAACAAACAGGCAAACGAGGCGCTTCCAAGTTCTAGCGTTACCGCGGCGCTATATGTTCGCGCGGCGACGGATGTCGACGTCGTATTGGACATAGACCCGTCCGCGTTTATCCATACCGTCGCAGAATCTGAGTCTGATATAGACGAGGAGGACGTAGATGTGTTACGTGCCGCACAAGCACTCGCGCTGGCAACCGCCCGACGCGATACCAAGCGTGGATCGGCGAAGGGCGAAGGTAAGGGGAAGACCGTCCGGTTTGACGGCGTAGAAATTGCTAGCGAGTATCGCGCCAAACCAGCGCCCGCATCTAGGCAAGCCACTGTAGCAGAGGAGATTGTCTCCCCCGCTGTCCAAGCTTCGTCAAGTAAAGGGAAAGCGCCGGAAGTCGCGAAAGCAATAACCACGCCAGCAGCGGCCGAATCATCGGCAAACGCACGCAGGACAAACACCGCTCCCGCAACTTCATCTTCATCCTCACCCATTATAACACACACTGACCTTACAGACTCGACAACAAACACGGCATCATCTTCGGCAAAAACGGCATCATACCGGTATTCGCACGGCTTAGAGGACAAGGACGCCGATAAGCGCATCCTCGAGCGCCTACTAGATACTCATATCAATATTTCGACACGGGAACTGTTCGCAATATCGCCCGACCTCCGCAAGCAATTCCGCGACCTCACCACCACAAAGTGCGTCACGGTCGGCACAGTATCAGTGAACGAACTTACAGGACACCCGGTTTCGGATGGATGGATGCGCGACTATGACGCCAAACGCTTGCGAAGCGACGATGGCCGAGTTGTAGCAGACCATTTTGCGCTGCTACGCTGCATTCGCGCAACTACCATCGGCGGCAGGGTGGTAACCTGTGTCCTAGATCAAGGCGCCGAAGTCGTGGTAATGCCAGCCGCAATTTGGAAAACGCTCGGTGTTGGTCTGCGGTCAGACCATCGCTTAAACATGGAATCGGTTAATACTAACAAGGACGCGACGCTCGGCGTCATCGAGAATGTGCCGCTAGATTTCGGCGGAGGACCGCTGTACTTCCAAGTACAAGTCATACCGCGCGCAAGTTTCGAAATTCTTCTCGGTCGCCCGTTCTTTAAGCTAACTACCTGTCGCACGTTTGATCTCCCTGACGGGGAACAGGATATTTTGGTTACTGACCCAAACACGCGCAAGGAGCTACGCATTCCAACGCTGCCTTGGGTAAAGCGCTGCGAGCGCTGTACAAGCGGTCATTCGTGTTCGGATCATCTGCCGAAAGTAAAGGAGGAAAAGGGTTTTTAATTTTCGATGATCTGCATTATTCGCGGGGAGACAATACCTCTCATATCCCCCGCTATCAGTATTTTCCTTCGTCATGTCTCATTCATTCTCGCATGCTTCCCGAAGCGCCGCAAAGCGTCCGCGCTTCGAGCGCCCGATTAACGCTCTTAAGGAGTATCCCCGTATCGTTTCCCAATTCTGCGCAAAGTTCCGTTTCTTCATTCTCTCATCGCATCGTTTCCGAACCGTCCGCGCATTATGCGCATTTATCGTCCACCCGATCCGTTATTGATAAAGCGTCTATCGACGCTTTCAATTCTTACTATTATTATGATCGCGCACTTCACGCGCTGGTATATAAGCCAGTCGCGAAGAAAGTACGAATGGTGCCTACCACTATGCCGCCAGAGTATAGGATAGTGCGCAAGTTACCCGAAGACCCGCTCGCCGGGTTACCCGATTTACCAACTCACCCCCCAGAGTTTACACCAGGTACCCGCTTTACGCGCGAGCGCGCAGAAAAGCTAGATTTAGATCCGGCCAATTGGCTGTGGCCCGAAGAGCTCAAGTTGATAAT